GCGCGAAACACCCCCACGCCCCGCCAGTGTCGGCAGTGGCCTGACAAAGAGTCCTGTTACTCGTGGCGCCCTAAAATGCAAGGCCTGGCGTATGTGACCACGTCATTTATATTGGCGATGTTGCGAACCCACCGCGAACCCTGGCACTCTTGGCCGCCATCCCATCACGGCCCGCATTGCCTCCGTCAGAGAACCACCTTGCCACCGTCGTCCCGTTGTCCAGGTTCCGTATCAGGCAAATTATGTTTTGCGAATTGGGTCTCTTACGGGCAACAGCTTCGCCAACCCCCGTCTCAACTTCTCGCCGGCAAGACAGGTAGGCACACACGATGAAGGGAATGCGGCACTCGAAAGGCTGTGAGATGAATTCGCAAAGGAAACACAGCCTGGCGCAAGTCTGAATAGCAAAGATTCGCCTTCGGCTTTATTCCACCCGTGACATGTAAAGCCTTTTCCCCAAAGAGTGATATATCCAGATATCCACCAGAAGCCATTGCCAAGTGCAACATCCGGACTTGCATTCTACATGACAAGCCGACCGAGCGGGTCACGAAATTGTCCGCTGCATGTGATTTCCGCAGGGTCTGCTCATCCCATGTCACTGGGACGGTCCAGTCTGGCTATTGTGACCACGTAATAATTTGTCCTTCTCCGGTAGGCGAAGAAGCCGGCCCAGACCGCTCCTCAGACTCCTGTCATATTCTGCTTTCTGACCGGATCCCGCTCCCGATGCTGGGGTCTCCTGGCTTTGGGCTGTCATGGCCCCAGGTCTCACTTCCCGTATTAGCTTGGGTATGTTATTTTTTTTTTTTTTTTCGAATCCACAATGGCCCCTTATCACGCGAAATCAGTCGGGTAATTTTGCCTGTCAATGTGGTCTGTTTTGGCTACTCGCACCGGCCAAGGTTCAATCTCTGCGTGTTCGCGGCAACGAAAATTCGTTTCTGCGCATGAATTCGAGGAAACGATCGAGTCGTGCTGATGACTTCTTTTTAGCGTCATCCAAACACGCGTCCCCAGTTGGGAGGCAAGAATCCGGCCGTCATCTTGCAGGAGGGTCAGTACCGGTGCCATGGGAAGATGATGTGCCCCTTAGCAAGTGCCCACTTGGTTGCATGCGACTTGTTCCGTAGAGCCATTTCAGCATCTTGACATTGAGCACGGAGTTACGGGAGTATGGAGTATGGCTGTGTTCAGGCTGAGTTGTTGAACATGCCCGTCAAACGCCTTTATGCGGACTAGAATCTCGCCGGTGCCTGTTACGACGCCACTGGGTTGAATCGCGTGGCTGACAGTGCATTTGGTCATGGTACAGCATAGCAGTGGTCATTTGGCGCAAATGCCAAGCCGTGACCAAGTGCGGAGTAGTTCGTCAGAATCTTCATTGTGAACAACTTTTTGTCTAGGGTAGCCAGCGGGTTTTGATCACGACACGCCGTTGGTGAACAAACGGAACCTGCTTCATCCCATACTATGTAATTAAAAAGGTCCGCGATAGGTAATTGCAGCGTAAGGTGTGGTGAAGGGTGAGTCCGGTTCCATATACTCGCAAAGCTGTTCAAATATGGATGGACTTGTTCAATCCTGGAGCTGCTTTACCACCCGTTGCCTGTTTACTCGTGCCTGGCGTGCTTCTCTTGCCGTGACGAGGCGAATTATATTTCGCCTAACACGATAGGTACCCCAACAATCTATAGTGCTATTAGAAACTGCGAGCCCACAGGAATAATGTTTATCGCCACGCTGGAAAAAGACGAAGATATGTTGAGGGTGTACGGAGGTATGTTGATGACGAAACCATCAAACACACCACACAGGTTCTGGGCCGGTGGGCAAATGCTTAAGCTACATCTCTGTTGTCGAGAGTGATCTGAAAATCATATTATATCAATATCGCTGTTATTACTATTACATGATACCTTAATTTTGTGTTTGATCTCGCCGAGGTCTGAACTTCGACGTCTAAATGCCCACCGCATCCCAAAGTGGCAACATGGGCTGTTAGTAATTTGCAGCCGTTGATTGGCTCGGCCGGATGCGGCATTACTCAATCATGCCACACGGTAACCGAAGCCCCATCCGTTCGTCGATGTCTTTGTCAGCCGACTTGCCGACTTCGAGGAGGAGATTGCCTTTTCCAACAAAACACCTCGTGAAATACAGCATGAGCAGCACTGACAGTCCAGCAGCACCATTACTGAACTGATTTCACGAATACTCTTTGAACCCCATGCCGCCGAGATGAACGCCCACACTCTGGTAGCTCGTGTCGCAATGCGACAAAGTTGCCACTCACTTCGGCAGATTTCGGCGCCGCGACTATTCGCCTCAGCATATCATTCATACTCATTGCCGACATCCACCACCCGCAACGTCGATAGGGATAGCATTCCCGAGACCCCGATAGCTGCCCCAGAGGCCCTGCCGCGGGTTCACGAGACACGCCCGCCACCAAGACAAGCAAACCCAGCAACACCGCTCGCCACTCCAGACCCGAAAGCGCCAGCGAAAGAGCCAGCATCAATCTCAAAGCCCAGCGAACCGGCAGCACAAAAGTCCAGAGCTACGCGCCCACGGCCAAAGTTACGTCCTCGGAAAGCGGCCATGAAACTCACGCCTGCCGCTGTAGAGCAGCTCCGGTCGATGCTAGACCAGCCGGAACCCAAGCTCATCAAAGTCGGCGTTCGTAACCGGGGCTGCAGTGGCCTGGCGTATCACTTGGAATATGTGGACAAGCCTGGTACATTTGATGAGATGGTTGAGCAAGATGGAGTCAAGGTGCTCATCGATAGCAAAGCCCTGTTCAGCATCATCGGGACCGAAATGGACTGGGCTGAGGACAAGCTGAACCAACGATTCGTCTTCAAGAATCCCAACATAAGTATGTTTTTTTAATTTTTCCCTTTTGTCTTGAACCGGGAGGATCAAGCAGGTGCTAATCGGGATATACAGAGGAACAATGCGGCTGCGGCGAATCCTTCATGGTGTAAAACGCAGAGAAAGAACAATACAGCAACAAGAAGATAAGAAACATGGCTCATACCGTCCCTGAGACGAGGACGGCTATATATTACACAAACACTGCATTTCACGGATCAGGAACTTCTAGCAAGGGATGTCTCATGCGGTTTCGCAGGTTCCTGACAACTCGGACTTCTTGTATTGATGGCCATTTTTCAACACAATTGTCTCACGATACGATCAATCAGCACGACTGCCCGAAACCGTAGAAGATGTAATAGCATCATGTGGCGCATCATTGGACTTGTATTTCACACGGACGGCATGTACGCAGGAATGCCTGCGAAGTTATTAAATCATCAGTACCCCTCATTGTACATGTACTCACGGCGGGCAAAATCACTTGGAGGATTGTGCTAGAATGCTGCATTGAATAGAAACATGTGTAGCGTAATGATACCAATAATGATACGATCACCAAAATCTCCATAGCCCACATGTCCGATAGTGTCATGAATAGCTGTTTAGTCGCAACTGCTTCGGAATCACTCGCAGGGCGTAAGTGGCGTCACGTGGTTTGGCGTCGCGTGTTGCTTTCGATATGGAAGATTTCACGCCCGGATTTGTCATGCAAGTTCACGGTTCACGCGAGTCGATAAATACTTTCATCCCATGGAAGCGCTTGGCTAACACATCCAAGGCAACAATCCAAGAAGAAACATATATAATAGTCCGCAGCTCAACCTCCACTACACTCTTCTGATCATCCCACTTGTATACATTCCCAAACGCTCTCTCCGTCCATCCGCCCGTCCATTCGTGTATACAATTTCACGTACTTGCACACGAGTTTCCGTTCAAAGGGTTTGTCTGTCCCCAATGGCTCTGTACGGCAAACACAAAGACGACAAGTCCGCTGCCTCGGGAGCCAAAACGTCCCGCAAGAAGACGGCCATGCCAGCAAGTACCCCTGCGAGCATGCAAGTGCAACTCTCACGAATCGCCCGCTCTAGCCGTACAGATTTTGAGAAGCGAGTCTGGACGGCGCTTTGCCACATCCCTGAAGGCCAAGTCACTACCTATGGTCTACTCTCCAAGTACCTTGGCTCGTCACCCAGGGCGGTAGGCAACGCCCTGCGACGCAATCCTTTCGCGCCTGAAGTCCCTTGTCATAGAGTCGTCGCGACTGGTATGACGCTAGGAGGGTTCAAGGGAAAATGGCCGCGGGATGGAGAGGGGATCACACTCGGTGAGAAGCGAAGTCTTCTCAAGGGCGAGGGCATCAAGTTTGATGATAAAGGGAAGGTTTTGAGTACACCGTGGACAGGGTGGTTGTAAAGGAGTGCATGAGTCTTTCTCCTATCTTGATACTTTTGTGGCTGCATTTGACATCGGCACGTTCGCAAGCTCTTGGATATGATTATAGGTCACACTCATTTCCTTATTCATTCACGTGTACGAGTTGTATTTGGGTATCTACCAGGGAGCTATGGATGAATAGGGAAGAATTTTGTGTCTGAAACGGAATAAAATTCGTTGCCGCATTCCACATCGTCTCATTTCATCGTTTCATTCATGTACGCGTTGAAAAATTTATGGCTCGAACAGCGCTATGGGCACTTCAAGTGCAGGCGTCCCGATAATGTCAGCCCGTAAGCGCTGTGCATGCCAGTCTCCTCGATACTCCAGCCTCTCATATGTTTGGGCTAACCGAACCACTGTACCAAAGCGTGTCAGTAACCAAAGACTCTCTTCTATACGGACTTTGACGACTTAATTCGACTCACAGCAGAAGGCCATTTCAGTCAAAGCAAAGTTCTGGCCCACACATATCCTAGGTCCGCCACTAAACGGTGTGTAGGTCCACGGTGTCGGGATCCAATGTTCCCAACGCTCTGGACTGAATACGGCCGGATCAGCAAAGTCTTTGGAAATAGGAGGATACAAGTCTTTTCGGGCATGCATGCCAATTGTGTTGATTGTGACCGTATCTCCCTTCAGGAGGGCGACGTCGGGTTGACCAGGAGCACCTGGGATCACAGTGTCCTCTAAAGCTTGACGCATGTTGATGGGTACAGCTGGGTGAAGTCGAAGCACCTCGTTGAGGACATTCTTCAGGTACTGCATTTTCTTTAGTGTTTCGTACGTCGGCATGCCGTGGGGACCCAATTCGTTGAGGATCTCCTCGCGCAGCTTCGCCCAAGTCTCGGGGACATATGCCATCTCATACATAACCCACGACAATGTAGCTGCAGTAGTATCCCTCCCAGCTAGGAGGACTGACATTATTTCGTCCCGAATGACTTTTGGGTCTTTTGTAACTCGAGCGATGCTATGAAGAAAGGTATATTGACTGTCAATCTTTGAAAGCTCCTCGAGCTCATGTTGAGGCAATGAAATAGCACGTTGGATTATTGGTTCAATGAATTCTTCCAGTTTTCTGATGCAACGATAATACTCTCCTTTTGGAATCAGAGGAGCTATTGGGCTGCAGGTTTTGTTAAAACGTGGTTTGCGACAGAGATTCAGGGAAACGACATACTTTAAGACGAATATGTACATTTGAATCCTTTGCGCGACAGACATTGCTTCTGCAACTTCATCATGGGGACTTTATAGATGTCACACTTAGCATATACAACTTTGTATGTTGACTGGTCACTAGTTACTTACTTGTCCAAACTATTGGTATTTTCTCCTAGGAGAAAGTCCGTGGTAGTATCCAGAGTCCATCTGTAAAACAAGTCCTTGATGTCAATTGTCGTTCCAGATGGTGGCAATCTTGACAAGAGTTTCCTAGTACAATTGTCGAAAATGACCAGATTTCGCAGTCTGTCCTTGACAAACATTGGCCGAATCAGCCCCCTGCTGCGATGCCAATCATCACCGTCAGTCGCAAATATGCCATCGCCGAGAAACGGTCGCCATAGACGATGCCACTGCGGACCATGTCCGAAGTTGGCAAATTTGGTAGCTAAGATGGTCTTGATCTGCTCAGGCTCCCGTGTAATGAGAACTCTCTTCTTCCCCGTCAAACTAAACTCGGCATAATTGGTTTGCTTGCTATCCAATACATCGTTACACCATTGGGCAAGCTTGTTATTATACTGATGGGACCCAATATCAATATATAGTTTGGTAGCTGCATTTTGAGACGGCGGATCAATAAATAGAACCAATGCCCATAAATTGTAAAGTAGTTTCCGGCGCATTCATACCGGAAAACAGGTTGGCTGCCAGCACTGGCGCCCTGGCACCACCGGCGAGCTGAATTCGAACTCCAGCTACTTTGTGTCTAATCCATACGAGTGAGAAAGCGAAGGCGCTGATAGCCACAATGATAATCCATGATGGCGCGGACCAGATTTCTTGAATGATGCTCATTATTATGACAATATCAAAGTGTCAATTCACAGTGAAGGACGCAGAAAGATGGAGAAACCTTCGTGAAGAATGAAACTGGAAGAAATGCAAGTGAGGTGGCCGAAGTGATGAGGTTGGCCCATGTCGGCATAATGGGGCATGCGCGCAAGTTGATAGATTCTTTTCATGGTCCGGGCTCCGGAAGCATACATACAATCTCACAACAGGCCGGAGAGTTGGAGGACGGGCCTCGTCCGGTTGGTGATGGGGGAATGGCTGGTTGTACGAGATGCATATTGCAAATCAGATGGCGCCTCTGGATTGGATGCATTCCGAGGCGCGAGGCAGGGGGGCCGGGGACCTTGTTCTAAAGACGATGGTGCGCATGGTGGAACTGCAAGAGATGGGAGATGCAGGGGTTTTGGTTGGTGAAGGTGCGAACGAAGAAAACACCGCCTTCGACGAACAATGAACGAATACCGGTGTAGGACAAGAGATGTTATAAAGGAGATAAACGATGGAAGCTTTGCCAGCCCTGCAAGTGGTCATGTGCCATGCTTTTAGCATTGACCAGAGAGGAAGTCGCAACTGGTTGTTGCTCAATGTGCTGGGATGCGAACACCGGGAGTCGGTCTGTAACGCAACATGAAGACACAGAAGTTCAAAAATTTGGATTCTGCATAAGAATCCGCTATTGCAAAGAGGTGGTGAATAGGTCCGGTCCGTCAATTCCGCCCAATTGATGATGATGCACGAGGTACGAGCAACGATGATGATGTGCGACTTTCTGACCCGTTGTGCTCAAGCTGGGGACGGCGCTACCTTTTTCCGCCCCAAGTACCGGCGAAACTCGGGTCGGCTAGGCCCAAACTGCCACGCTGGTTTCCTGTTTGAGGTTTGAGAGCTGTTTCTGGTGGTGCCTTGTGCCTTGTGCCTTTACCTCAATCCCGTCCTTTCACCTTGACCTCATCGCGAATACCTCTATTTCCTCTGTCACGAGTCGATTGGCAGCTGCCAGTCTCCCGCCAACATGTTCAACATCGGACGCAGCCGTGCCCTGGCATCGGCTCTAAACGCCTCCAAGGTTCGTCAATCTGGTCTTGTCCATGACCTAGCGCTTTTATTTTTTTTCCCTTGCCATCCCCTTAGTATCAGACTGCTAATTAGATGTCGCTCAACAGCTTCAGGTCGCCCCCGCCGTCAGATTCCCTGGCGTTGCACAACAACGACGGGCTCTGAGTATTCACGAGTACCGTTCTGCCGACCTTCTGCGACAGGTAACAAAGCCCCGACTGCTCCGGATCGTCATCATCAGGTGGCAGTTGGATACTAGCTCTTACTGACCGTATGGTGCATATAGTATGGAGTGGGTGTTCCTAAGGGCGCTGTTGCCAAAACTGCCGAAGAAGCCAAGGCTGTTGCAAAGGAGATTGGCACCGAGGACATGGTCATCAAGGCCCAGGTCCTCGCCGGTGGACGAGGAAAGGGTACCTTTGACAACGGCCTCAAGGGAGGTGTCCGCGTCATTTACTCTCCTCACGAGGCCGAGATGTTTGCCCAGCAGATGATTGGCCACAAGCTCATCACCAAGCAGACCGGCGCTGGTGGCCGTCTCTGTAACGCTGTCTACATTTGCGAGCGCAAGTTCGCTCGTCGCGAATTTTATCTAGCCATCCTCATGGATCGTGCCTCCCAGTCCCCTGTTATCGTCTCCTCGTCCCAGGGTGGCATGGATATTGAAACCGTGGCCAAAGAAAGCCCCGACGCCATCATCACCACATACATCGACATCAACACGGGTGTAACGGACGATATTGCCCGTGGCATTGCCACCAAGTTGGGCTTTAGCGAGCAGTGCATTGAGGATGCCAAGGATACCATCCAGAAGCTGTACAAGATCTTCGTCGAGCGCGACTCCACTCAGATTGAGATCAACCCTCTCTCCGAGACCAACGACCACCAGGTTCTGTGCATGGATGCCAAGTTTGGCTTCGATGACAATGCCAATTTCCGCCAGAAAGAGGTTTTCGAGTGGCGCGACACCACTCAGGAGGACCCTGATGAGGTTCGCGCTGCCAAGTCTGGCCTCAACTTCATTAAGCTCGATGGTGACATTGGCTGCCTCGTCAACGGTGCTGGTTTGGCCATGGCCACCATGGATATCATCAAGCTCAACGGTGGACAGCCCGCCAACTTCCTCGACGTCGGTGGTGGCGCTACCCCTGCGGCAATTCAGGAGGCCTTTGAGCTCATCACTAGCGACCCCAAGGTCACCGCCATCTTCGTCAACATCTTCGGTGGTATTGTTCGTTGCGACCACATCGCCACCGGACTGATCAAGACTGTCGAGAACCTCAACCTTAAGATTCCCATCATCGCTCGTCTGCAGGGCACCAACGTTGAGCGGGCTCACAAGATCATCAACGAGTCTGGCATGAAGATTTTCTCCATCGATGACTTGCAAAGCGCCGCTGAAAAGTCTGTGCAGCTGTCAAAGGTCGTCAAGCTGGGTAAGTATTTGTGTCCCACTTTTCCTCACCAAACGTCATTCCACGGGTTCAGAAATGCTAATGATTGGCGGTTTGCAGCTCGTGACATTGACGTTGGAGTCGAGTTCACCCTTGGTATCTAAAATTGTGCATTTTTGGACTGGGAAAGATGGGCATTCCGTGTAATATTTCAGGATTTTGGAGGCTACAAGTAATGTTGCCTCAGATGGCGGCCTAGTGTATTGTTGACGTATCATGCAATCAGCCTTTCACAGTTAATAGAATCGGATTGGGGTTGTTTGCCATTTACCATGCATGGTCCGCCTGATGGAGTGATGGAACCGAGTGCTGTGATGGTTGTTGAGTTTGGAGGCTTTAAAGGCGAGGCCGCAGAGCAGCATTTGACATGACAATGCACAATTGTCTGCACCAGAATTAACACCACGACTTGATAACGAACCGAGCTGGGCCGCATATGGGACAAATCACCTTGGATGTGTCGGGCAATCCGTCGATTCAGATCTTTGTGGCTTTGCGATACGAGTCAAAAACTGCGACATTGGGAATGGTACTCGTGCCCGCCCCACTATGTTAGGCGTCTCGTTTCACTCACCACCTAAAGGTGGTGCTAGACAGCAAGGCGGGCCACCCACCAAGGCGGGCCACTTTATATATAAATATATATATTTATTTATTTATTTTTATATATTAATAATATAATATAATATAATATTTTCAAAGCAACAAGAAGATAAGAAAC